AGAAAAGATATGGAGCTCAGAGTCCATTCTAGTCTGCAATGTACGTTGCGCCGTTATTTGCTCTTGCCTGTTTTATGTTTTTTATGTATCTGTTAGAAAATGAATGAACATGCACCCGCACTCTATTAACACAGATTAGATGTTGATTCTATTCCACGATCGAACTCATTTTGCTATTAGATTTATCCTTTTTTTATTTCAGGACAGACATCTTCCCTCAAGGCCTTGCCCATCCGAACATATATGCCAGATGCTGCTCTTTGAGAGGAGTTTAATGATTTCCAGGAATTTTCTTCATGCCTCTTCACATTGAATNAATGATTTCCAGGAATTTTCCTCATGCCTCTTCACATTGAATACGGGTGATTGAATATAGTGAACCGAATACCTGGGCAATAAGACCCGTGGCTGGGCTCAGCTTGGAGATACAGCGCCAGAGAAGAAGAAAATTTAGGAGGGAGAAAGAGTATCCTCCCTTCTTCATAAATACAGAATGAGTAAATGAAGGCGAACAGCTTCAACATTTATACCATCGGCTAGGGTGAAATCCAGACTACAAATCATGTCAGAAAGTGATTTTTCGTCAAACATGTCATTGTCGAGATGTAGGGGGAAGAAGGACGGGGTCTAATGGAAAGGGAGGTACATAATAGAAGCATTACCCTTTGCGTACGTTTGAATATGTTCAAAAAGCCCCCAACAATTATACCACTGGCTAGGGCAGACTTGGAGCTACAAATCTTAAGGCAGAATTTCTCGCAACCTCTCGAAAACTAGAAATGTTTTCGAGATAAAGGAGGGAGAAGTGAAGCAGCCCTCCACAGTCCATTGTTGAGTACGGAGCAAGTAGCATTGTTTCCCAAACTCAACGACTTCCCGTCCAGGGCCTAACAGCGCGCGGCTGAGCAGAATCCACTTAGAGAGCGAAAGGCTCCAATGACGGGGAAGCTTCATAGGCTTTGATGACGTCATCCATCTCATAGCCAACAGGGTTGTCAGATAGCTTGCACCAAATATCCTTTCCAACCCAAACCACGAGAAGTTCATATATTGCATACAAATATCTAACAATTTTCAACAAATAGGTTCGATGACATTGTCGAAAAATGGGATGGGGGGTGGGGGAGAATGGGAGTGAAGGATGATGTTGTCGAAGCATGAATGCCGAAAACAAAAAGTGGAGTGCGTAAGTTATAACATCGGAATAAATTCCTAATTGTCACGAAGGAGTTCAATACCGCAAAACCCAACCTATCTCTCAATTCGCCGATAAGACAGGGGTAAGCATACAAGTAATCTGGCAACCCTGATATTCGGTGAACCACGGCGCCTGGAGAAAAAATTTCATCTAGGACGAGACCGGACTAAGGCAGACTGCGAGCCCAGCGGCTACCCTCTACTCACATATTGAAGGAAGCCTCTTATTACTGGAGCCATCAGGGGAGAGGCTGCGCACTTGCGCAATGACCGACGTGAGGGGAGTGAGTGCCAATTTAGGAACAGCTTCTGATCCAAACGAGATGCTATGTTTGAAACGTTGTTTTCTCGACGTACCAAGTACTGACAATGGTAATTCTTATCCCTATTCACTCGGGAGAATCTCCTCTATAAAATGGTCTGATTACTTTTTGCATTTTCGCCCCTGAACGAGAGTAAAATGCCAGGAAGTGAAGAACGCACTGAAAAAGTGCCCATTTTCGGGGATATTCGAGTACTTTCCAGAAAAACGGCTTGAACGATTCTCACGAAACTTGGCGTGGGGATGGAGATGGGTTCGAGAGTAAAATGCCAGGAAGTGAAGAACGCACTGAAAAAGTGCCCATTTTCGGGGATATTCGAGTACTTCCCAGAAAAACGGCTTGAACGATTCTCACGAAACTTGGCATGGGGATGGAGATGGGTGTTACCCAAAATCTGATGTATGCTTTTCTCTGAAATGAATCTCTTCTCGAAACGACGGCGGAAAGACTAATTGACGAAAATCCATAGCTCGAAGAAATAAATTCGCCTGACCTTTGACATGAGAGTCTCGGCGTTCGGCTTGACATCATGTTGTAGAGAACTTTCCGGGCTTTGTATTGATGAAAGTTTCAAGGAGATCTCCAGTGGTTCGGATGCTATGCTGCCTTCAAACATTGCTCTTCGATTGCCATCTACCGGAAACTTTGAACAAGGCTTAAATAAAAGTGATAGGGAGGTAAGAAAGTGCTTTCTGGGTTTTGTGAGACCCCCTACATAAGAATTACGGATAAAATTTTGAATCCCAGACCCATTGATTTTCCTTCCCGTACCACCTTAACTTGAGACACCTGTGTCTTTCAACTAATTTAACACGTTGTCGACAATGCGTCCTGATGCCAGGATGCAGATTTTTTTTCAATGAATGAATTTTTTTTCTGGAACTGATGAGAACGTTCCAGAAGATTATGATTTCGTAATTACTAATAAAAATTCTAAAAAATTCAACATTAAAAAAAAAACTCGGAAAAAAAATGTTCTCTGGGACCATGCGTCCTGATGGCAGGACGCATTTTTTTTTTGTAAAAAAACGCGCGTGGTCCCACGCGGCGGAGAAGCAAAAATAGGCTGGTCGTCAACGTGTTAAAACTGACGTAAATAAGTAAATAAGAAAAAGAACACAATGCCTTCGCAATCCTTGATATGATGGAACTGATGAAGGTCGAACAGCTTGTCACAACTATAGATAATAAGCATTTGGCCACGAACCCAAAAGAGTAATCTCTAACTCCATGGATTGAGGCTAATGTCCTTGTAAAACTTTCCTTAAATAGAAGCTTGGCCACGGACATGCCCTTTTAAAATGTGAGTCTCATAAGCAACTCAGAAAATAGGGTGGATGAAAGGAAGATGAAAGACTTGTGTAGTTGTCGGGTGTCCTGATGATTGCGGGAGGTCCTCAGAAAGTTCCCAGCCAGCAACTCTCAAAGGATTCTCACTTTCAATGTCCCAAATACCTGTAGAAGACTCCGTTCACCGCAAGAAGGAAGCAGGGGGAAGGCCGGACTAATGCATCTAGCCGCCAACTAGGTCGATAGAGTTCAGTTGAACACCCACCTCCACGAATCGTCTCCGGTTCGTTGTTCTGGTTGCTACGGATGACGTGGGAATACGGTGACTCATGCGTCACTAAATCATTTTTTGCTGTGCAAAACGAAATTGCGCTAAGCTAGAAAAATGGTGGAACAACATCGTCCGTTTCTTCTCCAACGAAGAAGGCCCTAATGTAAGCCCTGGACATCACCTTGCACATTTGGAAACAGACACATAGAAAAAAGCACCTTGACTCTACAGCTGCAATAAGAAGCTTTAACTGTAAATATCGTAGTGGCTCCCCACAGTAGACTCTTTCGAGAATTTCCCCATATTTTGATCTTAGCTCTCTCCTAAATCCTAATACATCTAAGAGCCCTGGGAGATGAGGAAGATTTAATCGCTTCTATCGCTCCATGCACTCGCCTCTAGCATGTGGGAGGGACTAGTGCTGAAATCGAAGAAGGCACACACGCTTTCACGCTGCTGCTCTCGCGCTTCCTCACCTGCCATTCACGTGAGTGCCCGGATCGAAGAGGTTTTCTACATGTGCGACTGGGGATCGGTTCTAGGAGGGCTATGAAGGTTTAAATGTATATAGTAGATTCAAGTGAGCCTGTGCGGGGTAACGGAACTGCTATAGCGGTATCATCCGCTTAGTCCCAAAAAGGGGAAATTTCACATTAAACATCCAGTCTAAAAATTGAGGCATGCTCTCCTTCAAAACTGATGCCATTCAACTCCATTATTAGCTTATCAGTGAAACATTAGTATTCATATAATACCACCTATGACGCACAAATGAGTCATTCGTCAAGTGCTTACATATTCATGTAATTCCGCCAATGACGCACATACGCGTCAACCTCAGTTTGGTAACTTTTGATTGCCCACTTTCTACGGCTATCAAAATTGGGTTCCCACGAACGTTAACTGAAGGAGGTACTTCGCATACACTAAAACTCATTCATCAATTACTCTTTCCACCACTTTCCAAGACTTGAAGAAGAAGATGCCGAGTCGAAAAATCTCCCTTGGTTTCAAGAACCTGGGATTAGTTTAATTTGTGACAAGATTATACGGGACAATAAAGTGTTCTTGAGATTTCGACGGGACTGAAACTTCCTGTGAAAGGGAAAACAAAATAAATTGTGCTGAATGTTTGCAGGCAATGTAGACACATGTGTCGTAATGCCCACTCCATAACCAGTTTTTTGGCGATACATTTTATCCATATACAATATTAGTGAAATAAAGTGGATATACAAGACAGATGCTTTATTTACGAGGTCAAACATAATTCACAGGGTAACGTATAAACAGATCTTCATATGATTTTATCTGTATATGTCTGAGACGGTCGGTGCCATGCTTATTTCTTCTCTCCCTGCTACAGAGGAATGGTGGGAATCATAATCTTCGTCAACTATCAGATCTGAAGAAGAGTCTGTAGACAAGGATATAGATCAATATTGAGTTCAATCGTTACTTACTAAAAAAAAATGAGAGACGGAAGTACCCGGTTGGAAGGAACTCAGAAATTTGTCTGACTTGAAAGTCGATCATCCATTTCCTTATTTTTCCGCGTTGACAGAATTGAGAGGATTTTCGCATGGGATATCCATGCTGTTGCGTCTTCTAATCGATGAAGAGTTGGGAGAAAATCTATGGTGTTATTCGTATGGATCGTCCGCAAGGATAAAAATACGAACCATTTCATCGCGGATCCTCCTATAACATAGTGGGATCCGCAATCTTGTCATTTTTCGTCAACAGCTTGTCATTTCACCAGTAGTTATGACATATCTCATCGGAAAGAATTCAAAAGATCAGAGACTCCCGGGCATGCATGAAGGAACATCTTCTTCCGGTTTGGATTGAAATCTTCATCGTTACATGGATAACCTCAGCTCAAAGCACGAAGTGAAAATTCCACGTTCAAAATACATTCACCAGTTGGCAGAGAACAACAGCCAATTCCTGGCATTGGTAGACAATTGGCGGAGGGCCTGCGGAAAAAATTTTTTTTCGAAAGAATAAGATTTCATGATGTCGAGGAGCCATACTGGTATATATTTGACTTAGTGAGATTACTAACCACTTCAGGTCTATGGTATGGAATGCTGGGCTTGAAAAAGGGATCTAACATAGGTAGTTGCCCTCGTATCAAGAAACCGGGAGGTTATATTGCTCAGAGAGGCAAAATCGTTTGATGTAGACATTTTAGGCCAGTAAGCAAACTGACAAGGGTCATTGCCTAGTGCCTTCTTGCGTTGCAGCTCTTCATGATAGAAATACTCGAATTTCTTGAAAGCTGGAGGGGTGAGCCCTATAGGTCGAAAATCCTTGAGGGAGCTGAGATTAGTATTGAATATTTTAAAGAAATTGGATTAATTTAATGCTGTTTTTCGACTTAGGAAGCGTGCCTACATCAATACATTTATATAAGATAATCCGAAAAGAGTATGAGAGATTCATTGCGTAAAAGTTTAAGACCCACGAACAGAGTCTATCTGGGCCACAAAACCGATTATTCTTATATCTCCTCAGACGCTTGCAGACCTCATCCTGACTGAGTGAGGGTGTTCAACTCATATTCAGGCATAGAAACTCCTTTACCCACTTCAAAATCTAGAGCATCAGGAGTATCGTTCTCGAATCTAAGGAAAAATGTATTCAATTCTGCTTCATCAGATTATGCAGTATTTTTAGTATTTTCTTTCCTGAAGCCACTCCGGAATTTAATGCTCTTCCAGAAATCCTTACCAAAATAACTTCTTTTTTATCAAGGCCTCATCACAATGCGGCCTTTGTCATTCAGTAATAATCCTATTCCAATACTCCAGTTTACATGACGGGTTCTGAGCCTGAGTTCCGGCCTTCCCTCTTACCCTTCTGGGATATTGTAAAAATTTGCTAGAGAATGATTTACCATAGTATTGGACAAGAAATAGCGGGCAGGAGTTGTCGAAGCAAAACTTCATGTAGCTAGTCACTACATCACGGTTCAAGTATTCCTTAGATTTAATGGGAATGTCACTGACAGTTGTTTCAAATTCAAATGAGAGCGTCCCTTGGTAAAGTTTCCTGGTATTCATGCATCGCTTATCCAACACTGGTTTTCTATGTGTTCCTTCCAGATCATTTTCCCTTAGTGCTCATCTCAGACTACTTACCTAGGCTCAACAAAGTTAAAAATAAGAGATTGATGCATAATTTAATTAATTACCACTTTTGCATCTTCCTCTCCAAAGGTTAAATATTCGAAATTAGCAATATCCTGTAACTATTTCAGTGCCTTTGTTCCCAAAGCAACATGTTTATGTAAACGGAATATCAATTTTTATAAACAAAATCAATTTCTTGCGATTATCATGCAAAAATCACATTCACATGAAATTTACTTTCCTATATTTACATCACCAAAGCGAATGTGCATTTCATATGAGCTAGACATGACTTCACCTAGTACATGATATCAAGTTCACAAAGTCGACATCACACCATCCATAATGACATTTCAGACCAGAAAAGTTTCGTGAAACTAATCTCGTTCTCAGTAATAAACATACGAGTATGTAACATCACCTCGACACCCACATTCATGTATATCATTACCAAAGTAGCGTAAAAGCAGTGGGCCAAAGGGGGCCCAGGCACTACGGTAACAGGTTTCTGCTGGAGGCGGCAACGTAGCGGCAAGTGGGAAATGCCGTTGGTAACCCGCTACATAGTGCAGGTGGAGGATCATCACCTCTCTTCCCATGATATAGCTGACGCTCCCCCAGATGCAACACTAACAGTCCCCACTTGGTGCCCATGTTCCCTGCACCATACATGTACAGTAAAGTAACAGCCTTCCTGATTCAGCAAAAGTGTTTTCTCCGTCCTTTCTCTTATAATTGTGAAATTTATATACAGATAGGTGGAAAGCGGGGAATTTTGATTTTTTAGTTACAGTATATGACTCAGGGCATCATTCAATGATGAAGTTAGGTAGGACACAGAAGTGTACGGGAATGGAGAAGGGTAGAATGCATAGGTCTTCATAAATTGTGTATTGTACGAACTTGTATAATTCTCCTCATCACTTCAGGGTTCCGCATTGGATGCGCAAGGGGGTGGGGGACAATGGGTAATCTTCGTAATATTGGATGCTCATCTGAGTATGTAAGAGCTCGAAGTATTAGAGGCTAATAGGATATGCATGGCAGCATTAGGTCCCATCCCAATTCGCGTTACGCCACCAAGGACCTACCTGGTAATATGATGGCCCTCTAACGGGCCGGAAGGTGGTGGGCCAGTAATGGCAAGTGGGACATAGAGCTAGTGGCCCACAACTTAGTAAAGGTAGCGGGCCAAAAGCTATCCTCCCCAAATGTAGCTGGAGGCCCACTACAAACGTACGCATTGAACAGAATTATATTGCGAAATTCATGTGATATCTGCAGTCCTCAGAGACAAGAGCCACATTAGCCTGACAGCAATACATTATTTATCCACCATTGTCGTTGACATTTTGGTTTTTTCCACAAAAACTAGTCAATAATTTTGATATAAGAAACAATAGCAGCTCTTTATTTTTTTAAACTAATATTTTAATTTTCCTACCCTCTAGACTAATTTATTGCCCAAGGGCTCAGTGACTTATCCTACAATGACCCTCCTAAAAAATGTTCGCATTTCCATACTCTTATCGATACAATTCTGCGTAGACTGACTCACGGAGTCTGTCGAATGACTGTCGCCTGAGTTCGAACGTCCACTGGTGTGTGAGAAGTGGGAGGCTCTCCTCCCTCTAGTTCATTGCATCATACAGAACAGATTTCGAGGAGTATCCGCATCAGTATGACAATATGTTTCATACTGCACTAAATGGTAAAAATGGGTGAAATGACTATAACTACATGTTTTATCCGTTGCTTAATATGTACAAAGGCATGGCAGCTGAGTTAAACCAACCCATCCTTGCTTCTTTTTTCTCCCCAAAGATGTAGTTATGGGAAAATTCACGGGAAACAGAAAAAAGCAATCCGCAGAATATAAGCGCAAAATTATACGAGTCCAAATGGATCAAGAAGAACTCAACTGCTGCATATCTTTCATTCTTTGCAGATCTTATTCAAAATATGAGCATATTCCCCTTACCTTTGGCTGCATACCTGCTTGCATCAAGCTATGAAGATTGCCTTCCTGCCTGAGGCATAACTTTTCAATAATTATGTAGACAAACGGCTGCATAAGTAACACGTCTATTACAGCATACTAGTGCCTCCATTTGAACACAAGACTTTCCTCCATCCTTCCCTCCACTCTAAGGGAACCACCTTTTAAGCATAAAATATTATTGGAGCCAATAAGACTATCCCCATATCGGATTCTACAGAATCCCATAGGAGTTTCATGTTTCAGCAATCTTAAGGATTACTTTACGATATTTACGAAAGAATCTTTTTTTCCTAGGTATCTCTTTTGACGTCTTAGAAATAACGTGATATTGTCAGTTACCCAATGCTCCTGATAGGCGTATTCAAGGGTTCACAGTAAAGAAAAATTGGCTGAACTGAACTGAATTGCTTAAGTGATTAAGTTCTCTGTGAGGTGAAGAAGGAAAATCTATTTTTCTTCCAAGCGCATAAAATACGTGATAAGCACAGTCAACTCAGTAAACAAAAGGTGGGAAAAAACGGATAAAAGAGTTCAATATTTGTCGCATGGCGCATTGGGGTGGAATTATTGCATCCGCTTCTGGTCTTCCCGGAAACGCAGGGCTCCTTCAGGCGAGGCTGCATTCTAAAGTTCCTGTAATACAGTTTGTCATGATTAACAAGATCGTTCATTATTGCAATCGCCCAGACATTCTTGAATTCAATGTTGACAGTCGCAGCTTAAAAATGATTGATTCTGACGGTACTGGCCATCTTAGATCTGTAAGCGCATGACTAAGTTTTCTTTTTTGATCCGGTAGGCTAGAATCGGCATTGTTAAGCAATCCCCCATATGTGTCATGTGTTATTACATTATATGTTAATGTTATTACAAATCAGGAGTTATTTATGAATTGCGACATTCAAGCTTATTTCAAAGAAGATGTGCAACTTTTCTAAATGAATGGTATGTTTTTCAGGTCATGCAATTGTAAAGAGAAGAAATACAATTTTAAAATATATAATGCGGCGAATATGACTTTTTAAGCTCCCCATTTCAATGCACTCATCTGAAACTAGGGATGGGAACATCTGCAAATAGGTAAGATCCACAAGATAATTTAGGAAATTCATTCCCACCTTGCTGCAGGCTCATACCAAGATGGCCAAATGTAGTAATGAGCACATAGTATCTTTTTCTTTTCATTACTAACTTCAAAGGAGGAAATGAGTATTTGTCGTGCAGCAACAGTTAAACCGCAATGGCTTTTTATGGTAGAAAAAGCCTTCAGAGTTCTCGGTTCATGGAGAAAACGAAAGGTTCCCAGTGTCTGTGGAAAGTTGAACTTGATCTTTTTCTATTGTCAAAGGATGTGTAGTTTTGTTCCCAATCGTTGGAGCAACCCACTACGAAATCCTCACTAGCCTTTATTGCAGTGAGCATTTTTTCCCATGCTCACAGAAGTTCCCTCAAACGTCCAAGAGTTCATTCAATTCACGTTTGGAGTGGAGAGAGGAGTCACAATTATTGAAAAGTTTCTTTGTCTTCATTCACTCTTTTAACAAAATAAAATATCCACTCACCTTGAAGTAGGAATAGACGACAAGAAAGAAATAGATTCCAAGGGAATAACCAACGATGAGGACAAAGACGACGATGCCAACGACACTGACCACGACGATCTTTTCTTGGACATAGGTACACACGAGGGCAATTATGATGATAGCAGCTATAGGATACACGATGAACCAAAAGAGAGAGATGCCCAGCCACGGAATCATCAGTTTTCTCTTCATCTGAAACATTTGGCAATTACAACTCTGTTGGAGAGTCAAACATTCGTGAATCACTAAATATGCGTTTTAGTCAGGCCCACCAGTAATGTGTGGTGTGTAAATGGTGTGTAAATTTATGGTGCCCTGTCGGACTTCATGTTTTTCCACCTTTGTTGCGGTGGTTTCCTCCATGTCTTCAGCAACTATGATGCAACGGATCCATATTTTCCTGTATATGCATCGCGATGATCATAAATTCCTGTTTTTTTTTTTCATCAGTGTTAGAAAAAGAATATATCGAATATATAGAATTCGATGTTCTTAGAGAAACACCCATGAAATAGAGCGCGACTTTCTGTCATGTTACTATTATTTTTATGTCTTGATCACGAGAAAGACCCATATCCAATTAAAGTTGGAATGTTGAGGTCCATTGACCTCATCCACAAAAGAAGCTTTAATTAATATGGTGAGGTTTTTTCTGAAATCCGTGTCGGAGTCATGGGCTAGTCAAAGAGTAGAGGTCCTGATCTCTGCGAGAAAAGAAAAATTGGAAGGGACGAAAAGTCACGTTTCCGGTGACGAGAGAATTTTCACCAGTAGAACAGGAAGACAAGCGACAATGTTTGGAACATGAAAAATCGGCAAAACCAACCTTTGAATATCATTATTTTCACACCAGAGTCTTTCCCTACCTTCTCAAGCTCTCAAATGCCAGAGGACAACGTCTTTTTCTTTAGAAACACCAACAACTACAGGCGTTAGTATTGAATATTCAGGCGCACCACGGGAGCATTAATCTATTTGGGTCTCCACAGCATCAAAATGTAAAGAAATTTTAGTGTTTCACTGACCGTGAAACACTAAAATATTATATCTCTTTGAGAATATGCTCGTGTCAACAGTATAAGAATTTTGATCGTTATACTCATTTTGGAAACGAACCGTGCGGATTCCATGGATGAGAAGAGAATTAACTACCAGCATCACGACATCAAGGACGATCGCGACGATCAGGAAGGTGCGCAGCGCTGAAATACAAGAGTGATTGTGTCAATCAAAAACTTTTGAGATAAAACATGCTCGATATTCTGAGAGATATATCAATTTAATCATAGCATATAAATGATACATTTTCACGATGAAGTGATATCACAAAAAAGTGATCTAAAATAGATATGAAAACTTGGATTTGGAATTAAAACTCACTGTTTGGCGTTATTCCCCCCATAGAGTCCGGGAACTTCGTGACCCCCATTGAATCAAAGACGTCAGGGTCCGGAAGAGAGAAATGATATTACCAACCTATGAAAGAAAACTTTGTGCTAGACCTTGATTTATGGGGTTCCTTATTCGAGGAAGGACTTGGCCTTCAGTGAGGCATATTTTTTATCATTGAGTGCATTCGATTAATTTTTTTTCAAAGCAAATACCCTTGAACCCACGAAAATCATCAACTCCAGAGAAGGCTCTGTATCTTCGCTCAACTACGTAGTATTTGCAAATACTAATACCCAAAATTCGATGAACGTTACATCGCCAACAACGCACTTTGAATATATACTAGTAGGTAGCCCGTGCAAAAGCACGGAAGTATTTAAAGGCGCAGAATGCGCACATGGCCATGGGAGGCAGTTTGTCGCACTTCCCCCCCTGTCCCCTGACTGGCCATGTGAGACGACAGGACGCGGCAAAAGCACCCCTAATTTATCGGTCTGCCTCTGCGCTTCGTCAATCGTCATTGCGAATGATTGGCAACTGACGCCGAGCGAAGACGAAGGGCAACCCAAAGATCAAGGCGTTACCTTAAATCGTCTCCATGTAGGACAATGTGGTATGTGAGTTTTTATTGGAGGCCTCACGCTACTCGCATCGTAACCCACTGCGCACGATTCCGAACGTTAATGGCCTCATGCCACGCTGCGTTTACCTGTTACGATGGCTATGGGAGAGCCACTGAGCTAAGAAATGACTGGAGATGTCGCATCCGTAGGAACAGTATAGGCATGCGTGCTGCAATTGGAAGCTATTCTTGTTGGGCTCATAGCGCCCAGTCACCATCCACTCCTACGGGATTTCCCCAGATTTTTCAACCCAACTAAATGCTAACTCGCAGGAAAACAGCCCCGACATAGCAGGCACAATAGGTTCTCACAAGAACCAGTAAGCCCTATCGAGTACAATATTCGTTTCACCGCACTACGCAGCAGCTGCTCGGACATTATGTGCTTTGCCCAGCCCCCCCCCCCCCACTTTCCCAAAGTGGTATTCACGCCTACGAAACGGACTTTTTAGTGAGTGGCTCTCGTATGCAGAATCGATCGCGACACTGTGCGTATAGTCCCTGAAGTCTATCTCCACCACTTTTCATGTAAGCCTATGAGTGAAAAATAGGAATAGAGAAACCGCCCCCGACGTTGTACTGTCCAATCCTAGAATAAGCGCTCCTGTTCCATACAGGTGGTATCCCGTCGTTTTCACCCTCGGTAGTCGCTCTCCTTGTGAATGCCGATCGAAAAGAGGACAGGGTTCCAACTGATACATAGGGGTTGGGATCCCGAGGAATATATGGACGGAGATCTCACCCTGGCGAGGAAGTCATCCTCCCTCCAAAAATGAAAGGGAACTCCTACACAGCAAAGTAGAAACGTACAAGGAGAGGTACAAATGTGAGAGGTACATATTGTGTCCCTCGGGTCTGCACGTGTGGTCCAGACGTACACGTACACATGTGTACGTTGCTGACGCAGATGTCCGGGTTCTCAGTGCAGTTCAATTGAGGTCTAGAACCGGTTTTTGAACCCCCTTAAGCCCGATGTGAATAGAGACTAGCGAACTGCGGCCGCTACGCTGGCCGTCTAATAAGTGAACATTTGAATCGTCTATTATGAGCATAACTTCTCCTTGACAATCCTCTGTTCATCGGATTACCCATTCGGAACTGAACCGCTTCATTACATTTATACACATATAGCTTGCAGTACACAGGGAGATTCTGTTCCTAAACTCCATTACCATGACATTCCAGCTAATTGCCACAATCATTCATTATGACCGGTTTAACATGTTTCCATGAGACTCAATACGACTTTGCTGATTTCGTCTTCCTAGCACATTCAATACTCTTGCATCACCGATTAACTCCGATATTAGTATATGGTACAAACACCAATGATTCTGAAACAGTACGGACCATTTCCAAGAACTTGTTCGTCGGCACAGAAGGAAGTTACTGCAAGAGCGGCACAATGCTAGCGACTAATTCCAGAAAATGCCTCGCCACCACATTACCATGAAGCTCTGAAAGTGTTGCTCACTGGTACTACAGTGTGAGTTGCAGCAGAAGCATTTTTCCATTGTGAAACAAATGCCTCCTCCCTATATCAAAATGTACAGCCTGACAGTGCTCGCTGCGCAAACGACTGTAGTGATTTGAGACGACATGGAGAAACCTAACAAAATGTCCCAAATTCCGTGGTGTAATGGTAGCACACCTGACCAGCAAGCAGGAGGACCGGGTTCAATTCCCGGCCGACCCCCGGCTATCGACGCCTGAGTGCTGCGTTCCTTGCATCAAGTTGCTCAGCAGGCTGCACGGCTCTCTTATTCCGAAGCTAAGCATTCGCTGCCTCTTGCTGTTCAACGGTCACTTATTATCTGTAGCGACTGCCTCATCGCCGTCCTGTGGGACCTCTTTCAACGTATTTTTTTCACGTTCAACCTAACCTCGCAAAAATCGCCACAATTTTGAATGGAGGAGCGGCCTGTTTAGGTGACGTATGAAACAAAGAACTTCAGTTTTTATTTTGATTTCATCAATCATGAGATCTCAAATAAATCGGCCATGACATGAAACGCAAATAGAAAACTATTGCATGGAAGTGATGTCCCGAGCCGCCATGCCTGACCTTAACGGAAAAAAAGAAAAAAATAATAAACTTTGACGCGGCAAAGTACGAAGCCTATGGTTCAGACTGATATAGTTCAATGGACCTGGCGTTAAAAGCGTTGGATGGCCAAGCCTATGGTATAGAATAGTCTAGCCTTAAGGACCTGGCACTTTGGGCCGTGGATGGCCTGACCTATGATCCAGAATGGGATTGCATCGGAGGCCTGCGCGTTGGGGGGGATAGCCACGGCCACGGCCATCACCACCACCGCAAGTTTGACCTCTTCGAATTAAAGTATTAGATAAGAAAGGTACACATGTGTACCTTCTATACCTTTTCAACGAACGTATTTTACGACAACGTTTGTACCTCATAACGTACAAAATGTGTACCTGACTGTACGTTTCTGCTTTGCTGTGTATTGTAATACGCAGGGACGTTTTACATGTACCTGCGGAAAAGTCCGTTTCGGACCGCACTAAATCGGGAGAAGGGGGAAATGCGTAGAATGCCTCTCTCTCCCGTTGTAGGGTTAGGGATGGCGTGGAGAGTCACAATTGGGTAACTTGGGTGCGGTGGTGTGGTGGTAGCACCGGTTATCTGGAGATCCTGCATTCAAACCCTGTCTTTCTCCCAATTTTACTTTTGTCCTCTTATGTCATCCGAACTCTACCCCCCGCCCCCGCGGCGGCGATTACGTTCTCGAGAATAGAACCGACAGTAGCAACGGCAGGAAAAAAATGCGAGCCGAGAGAGGGAGACGTATATCCAGAAGGAGGCAGAAGATTCTATGGGGAGAGCACACGCGATCGCGCTGAGTGCACCGTGTCATGCGTGCGCTTGCATGCCAGGGACCGCGGACCGCGGACCGCCGCCGCCGCCACCACGGATCACAGTAGAATTTATTATTAATATATATATATATTTTTTTTTTTTTTTCCTTCAACTTCTGTCAATAGGGAGTCTTGAATGCAGACACAATTATTGCCACTTCGCATTTTTTATTATTTGCGCGTGCCCCTCTAATTCAGACTTGTAAGTGGGAAATGGAGATTTTCGGGCCATTGATTGAATGAATAAATTTTGATATGTCCAGTCTTAATCTCCGTCCAAACTTGAGGCGGGGTTTCTGGGACACCCTCTATTTGATATTGTCGGATTTCCAGGAGTGATCGGTGCCATCGACGACTGTCGTACTCGAATAGAGTACCTAGCCAACTTTTATCAATAGCAAAGGCTTCTACGAGGGGCACTCAAAAAGTTCTGGCCAAATGGCATATTGCCTGATCCTTATGCAACTTTTATGGAATTAATTGAAAATTTGTTGCCAACATTGCGACGCGAAGCGTTGGACTAAAAAAAGGTTGTCCTCCAGGACAGATGACTTTGACCCATAGAGATGTGGGAATGTTGATTTGAGTCCTACTGAATGAAGTCCTTGGAAAAAGTGAAAATCTTGGTTCTCCAACTCTAGCGGTTTTCGAGGTATGCGGCAAAAAATTAGCCTCAATGGGAAAAGGTGATCTTAAGGGTTAAACCGCTATCATTGCTTCTGTAGTAGTTGAGCTTTTGGACTTCAATTTAAGCTGAGACAATGTAGAATTGCATTATTAACATCATTTTCTACTACATTAACTTCAAATTGAGTTACACAATTTCCAAAATTGCAAATATTGCCCAATTTTGCTCGCGAATTCAGAGCACTACAGAATCATTGTTGCTGGCATAAGTAACGCTGAGGAATTCAAATTGAAGTACGGTGCGGCTCCTCAAAATCCTATAACCTCGTACTAAATTCCGAAAAATCAAAAAGTACTTTTCACTCTGCTGATTGATGTTTGCGTCTAATCTGCATTTTTTCTACTGCTTATACGTCCATGAAAATCACCTGAATGAAGCATTCTATGCCTGGAAAGCTCCCAAGTTACTGAGGAAATTGGCGAACAAGGCACACGTGCCGACACCCTAGGTAATCTCGTGAAAAGGTCTTGAATCTTGAAGTGAAGGAACAGTAAAGAATTCCTTTTTTAACTTAGGAAACCTCTTGCCATGACATTTCAAAACAATGATGACACTATTTCTGATTATGAGTCTCAG